GCTCCCGAGATACACGCCGGTATTTAAAAAAGTTAAAAAGGCAGCATTTTAACTTGGGTGAACTCTGGTGACCTGACCTTTGACCTGACCTAAAGATGACTGAGTGTTTTCGCCTGCTTTTCGACGCTCTTTCGAATGCCGCTTACCGCTACGTGGCCCAGGAGCCGGGTTAGACGGGGGGGGGGGGGGAGTTTCAGACACTCCCCGACCCGGCGCGATTGGCGCCGAACGCCGGCCCGGCGCGGGTTAAAAAACAACTGAAACAATACCTATGCGATCTAGTGCCTCTAAAGAAACACTAGGGAGTTAATTTCCAATTATCGGCAGGTTTTGAAAGATCCGCTTAAAATACCTACCTGGTGGCTCACTTTTCCCCAGCGTCCTTTGTTCAAACGTCCAATGCAATCAGAGTTAAAATTATGTGACAAACTATACCGAAAATAATAGAGACTTGCCTGAGTGGGCGCCCTGGACCGCTTTGCTCCAGCGCCCGCTGCCACACGCCACTGAGCTGCCCCGGGCCGGCCGCCAGCTCGGTCACAGCAGCACGCGCCCCAGGCCAGGTCAGCCACGGCGCCACCGGCCAATCACAGAGGAGCGCCGACCGAGCGCAGCCAATCAGCGGCCGGGAATCTCGGCTCTAACACAATTACATGATCCCGGGAAATGGGAATCGCGTGGCGTTCTGCTGTTTGCAGATCGCAGTGGAAATATTCATTTATTGTCTAACTAGCTAAAAAAAAATACCAAGTGGCTGCCCATTAGGAGAGAATCGTCCAATGCGCCTCACCCCTTAAGGAAAAATGGTGTCAATGCTTATCATAGTTATTTTACCGCGCGCTATTCAGTATTTTGTTGAAGCCTTATCATTTGACCGTTATGGGTACGGTAAAACGTCCCACTTTGGTTGCCAACTGGTTATGAGTTTCGTTTGCATATATTGTGCATTTCATATCCCGCTCATAGGCGGCGGAACGATTTGAGATAAAGGGGGGCACCAGCTCAAGGAGCCAAACCTAGGGTACCCCCAAATCCTGTTTTCTCATCGGATTTAGGCCACTTATTTTTCGTCAAAGCCCTGACACGATGATTTTTTTATTTTTCTTTATTTATTTTTTTACTAAACGAAAATGGCAGTTTACCCCCGTATGTGTGGTTAACTTTAAGCTGATCCTCAAGTACCTATGCGTTTGTCTCTTCCTTATTGTCGTTTGATAAATTCCATTTATCCTACATGTATCGAATTCCCAAGAAGCCATCGCAGTACTAATCAGTGGCGAATCCCAGGGGGGAGGTCACATGGGTCAACTCATGACTTAAGGCCTGGGGTCACCACATGCCTGCCAGGAGCACCACAGGCCTGACAGCCGACAGGGGCACCACAGGCCCGCCAGGGGTACCACAGGCCTAGCAGGGGCACCACAGGCCTGTCAGGAGCACCATCGGCCTAGCAAAAGCACTACAGGTCTTCCAGGGGCACCACAGACCTGCCAGGGGCACCAGAGGCCTGCTAGGGGCACTATCGGCTTCGCAGGGGAACCACCGGCCTCGCAAGGGCACCATGGGCCTGTCAAGGGCACCACAAGCCTGTCGTTGGCACTTTAAAGGTAGTGTGCCACCTTTGAAAGATTTCCCATTTTATTTTTCCTTGGATAAGAAGCTTCTGTTTTTACCTAATATCGCAAAAAACATCAAAAATGGGCCTGGAATAGTGCCTTTTTCGCCTAAAAGTTTATCGGTTTTGCGATATGTATAACAACTGTAGTGGGCCGACCTGCAAACAGGCGTCGGCAACAATCGCGAATGCGGCGCACATGTGACAATAAGCAAAGGTCATTATAGAGTTACGACGTACGGGAATGAGTTATCAGCTGTCTAATCGTAGACAACACAATGTCGAGCCTTAAACTGTAAGCCTGTATTGGTATTGTTTCTTTTATTTGGCTGTCGAACATTATTTATGGTTTGAAATATGATTTTATGTAAAATAATTGATATGAAAAAGCCGTCTCTTAAGTTATGACCCCATTTCACCACACGCAAGTGGCAGAAATGACAATGATCAGCTGACGCATTTTTCTTGGCCGAAGTCAGAGCGCGCGGCCCGACGCACCACCACCGCACCACAAAGTATGAGCAGAAGCCGCGCCCAAAGCCAGGGCCCCGGTAACGTGAGGTAGCCGAGTCGGGGCAGCGTGCGCTGACCCAAGCCGGGGCCGCAGCTTTGGGCGCGGTCTACCGCATCCCCGCGGGCAGCCCCGGGCTATCACATGACACCGGGAGGACGCGCGGCCCCGGCTTGGGTCAGCGCACGCTGCCCCGACTCGGCTAACTCACGTTACCGGGGCCCTGGCTTTGGGCGCGGTCTACCGCACCACCTAACAGGCGTGTTCGAAACCGCAGGAGATGATGATGAACGGGTTTATCGAAACTTGATTGGATGAGCATATCGGTAATAGCGATTTCAGTGTGTGCATTTATTGTTCATAGTGGTGTGAAACAACCCGTCGGGGCGAATTTCGCACTGGGGTACTCAAAATTTGAAGAATTTAAGACGTTTCCATGAGTTTTGAAGGTATGGATAATTTCTAAAAATCCGGTTCTCCTTATCTGGGCCATTAACTCCATACGGTCCAGGAAAGCTGGCACACTACCTTTAAGATTGTCAGGGGCACCACAAACCACAGACTCGCCAGGGGCACCACAGACCTGCCAAGGCCCAGGGACACCACAGGCCTAGCAAGGACACCACAGGCCTGTCAGGGGCACCACGGGCCTGTCAGGGCCCATGGGCACCTAAGTCATGTCAGGGCCCACCGTAGGCTTGTCAGGGGGCAGGGTAGGTAGGTACCACAGTCTTTCCAGGGGCACCAGCGGCCTAGCAGGGGCACCAGTCATCACATGACTAACCAAAAACAAAGAAAAAAATGAAAATAGGGCACCACCAAAATTAAGTGGCCGAAATCCGTTGAGGTTTTAATTTTGGGTATAGGTAGGGGCACCACTTCGATTCTTGACCCTCCCCTTGGAGTCTTCCCGAATCCGCCCCTGGTACTAATACATCAAATTTAAAGGGGGGGGGGGCACCTTGCTATTGGTGCCCCCCTTGCAGAATTCAAGGGGGGCACGGTGCCCCGGTGCCCCCCCGTTCCGCCGCCTATGATCCCGCTTTCTGTGATATTACTCTATTAGTTAGTTGGCTAAGTAGAAACGTATCTACAGGGTGTAGCGAAATTATCCGGACGTCTATTTTTCGCCATTATTGTTCGCACATTTTCTTTTCAGATGTAAAGGGAGGGAAAATTGGATGAATTCGTGCCTATGGTATCGATTCTCAACTCAGAAATGACTTGGCTTTGTGAGGTGACCCTTACTCTGAGTAAGGCCGTAAGGGCCGAGTCACCGCCAGGTTCACTTTGTAGTTTTCGTCCAAGGCAGTCCAAGGCACAGCAGGGCTCGGTTTCTGAACACGCACTTATCCATGATTTAAGCCGCGCTGTCTTCATGCGGGCAGCGCGCCACGTCAGTCCCTACAAGAATGAGAAATGATGCTGAGAGAACTTCCTATCTTCTGGGCTAACGGGGCATGTCTTGGAAATAGTCCCGATCCCAATCGCATCAAAAACTTGGGGGCTATTGTCCAGCAGGAGGCGAATGAAGAGACACCCGCCACCAGCACCGCCCAACTGAGGGCACAGGTCAAGACGGCGTCGGTCCATATCAAACCCTGTGTGCTGGAGAATCCAGTCATGGCTGGAATGATCCAGAACATTCATAACGGTGTTCTTATGAAGGGTGACTTTATCGTCATTTACAAGGAAAAGCTCCAGATTGCTTTGCTTTTTGATTCCATGCGGGAAGAATGATGTCCGGATAATTTCGTTAAACTTTGTACGTCAGTAACATCATAACATGGCCTTTGGAGATTACGAACAGGAGTACCGTTTCAAAAAAAGGACAAAACTTCAGCATTTGTAAGCAAAGTTGCCTGTCTGGAAAAATGAACCAATGGCAAAATATGCACTGTTTCCAATTTTTTTTCGCCTATTCACCTCAATTAGCAGCAGTTAATCGCAATGAAGCCACTTCTGGAATGTAAGACATTTTGTTTAGTATTGTAAGCCATATTTATTAGACATATTTATAAAAAAGTAAGACATTTTACATGCAAAAACATATGGGCGTCTTGGACGTGCCGGGGCATCTCGGATTTTTTGTTACAATTACTTAGGTAGCAGCATATCTGGTGAACCGACAAAATTGGAGCACTCAAATCACGCTGTTTTTGGTGAACAACAAACTAACCTTGTTTACCGAAGTAGCGGTGAATCGGTGTCGTTTTTATGACAGACATTGGCTACGTTTCCATGGCACAAGTTAAGCCGATTTTGAAAAATGGATTTTCTCCATCATAGCATTTTGGCATAATGTAAAAATGTAAATATAGGATTAGGTGCTAGCTTAAACCATATATACGCTCATTTTTTGCATAAGGTAAATAGTTTCCGAGAAAAACGCACGTGAAATTTCGCTAAATCGATTTAGACGTGTCATGGAAACGTAGTGATTTATGTACCTAATTAAAAAATCGCATAAAACCATGTTTTTGGCAAAAAAAAAAATCGACCCGCTGATTATGGTGGTCACCAAACTTCGTCAGTGTTTTGCTTCAACAGCATTTGTTTCACTTGTAATGCTGCTAAAGTCAAAGAAGTTATTGTGATAAATAAGGGCAATGGGCATTATAGCTACCCTGGGCGTCGTAGACAGTTCTCCGCTACGTACTCATTATTTCATTCACAAGGTCTATTCATGCAAAATAATTTATCGAGAGCCGACGAATGATTCGTAGCTTGACCTTGAGATGACAATATCGAAATGTACCAGGTCACGGTTATTACCCAAAAGGCCAGGCTGAGTAATGAGTATCAGCATTAAACTCGCCCAACGGTTTGTGGTCGGGTCACTCTGCACAGTGCACAGCACTGCACTGCACTCACCTGCAGTCGCTAAGTGTCGAGTTCCTCCGTGGTTCCTCCAAGCTGCCGGGCTGGGGAGGTCCAAAGCGCTGCGGTCACCCGTTCGCTGTCGGAGGGACGCTGCAGCTGCTGTGTCCCGCTCGGCGGAGTCGCTCAGCTCACAGGGCACCACTGCCGAGTGCCGACCACCGACCTGTCGGACTCGCCGCGTGGACCGTCCCGCCCCGGTGACGCCGCCTCCGCTGGACTCGCGGCCTGTCACCCGGCGGCCGCCGGCGCGGCGGCCCCCGAGTCCCGACCCCCGGGGCGGCCTCGGCTCCGCCCCTCCACCCCTCCACCCCTGTCCCTGTCCGCCGCCGACCGCACCGGCCACGTCCCCCCCATACCGGGGAGTACCGGCTCGGTCACATGAGGCACGCATTCCTCTCCCCTGCTAGCCGACCCTACCGCTCCGTTAAGGGGGGGGGGGACGGCGCCGACCCTCCCTCCCCCTCTCCCCTTGCCGCCGCGGGGCACGGGCACCGTTAGCCCGGCGCAGAGGGGCAGGGGTGAGGGGTGGCTGGGTGACTGGCCCTTTGAGACTGAGCGGGACCGGGACGGGGGCCGACTCGGCTGTCACTATTTACAGTGGGAGCATTGTAAAGGCAGACCTATCCAAGCCAGTCAACCTCATCTCGATGAGTGGCAAATGTAGGTAAGTGACGAATGAATTGATACAGGATTTGGTGTTTGTTTAATTTTTCATATAAACAAAGATAAACAAGCTGTTCATGAGCAGTTGTGTTCGAGAACAAGTGACGTCATCGGTCAAATTTTGTGAACAAACAGCGAACAGTTTGCGAACGTTCATGAACTGTTCGCGAACATGGTAAAGAAGGGGTGGAAAGACCCCGGCCCCTCCCGAGCCGTCTCGCTCCAAAGTTGAGCTAGAAACTTACGGAAAAAGCGAGCGCACGCATCGTTGCGAGACACAGCGACTGCCGACTGGCATTCGATTTTAAGGTCTTGGGCCAACCGGTGACATCTGATGTCAGGTCAGGTGCCCCAAAGAAGGTAAGATCAAAATCGTGGCCCAGGTGAAGAGGCTGGACTATGGGTCTATGATAGATGGATTGCGCTGCGTTAGAGTTTAACTATTGGCTCAGTCGAGGCCACGACAGACGGGTATAGGAATGATAAATTGCCCTGAGCCGGTCATAACGTCCTCGGTAGGTGCATGACAAAAATTAGGAATAGGTACAAAAATACGTGTGTACGAGCAGTCCGCTGAAAAAGACTTACATACATATATAATATGTATATATGGTACTTTGTACGAAAACGTCATTTTTAAAAGGCCATCGGCTTTCACCGTGTCGGCTGCAGGGGTCGATATCGTCATCATACAGTTGCACGGTTTGCTGACGTCACCACCGTCGTCTGCACGGGTCGATGACGTCACTGCCGTCGGCGGCGATAGGTGGCGCGGATTAGCGCCGCTCCAAGCTGAGGCGATAGGCGTCTGAGGGCAGTCTGATTCCCGACGGCTCTCAGTCCCGGTAGCGCTATAGCGAGGGGAGGGAAGGGGGGGGGGCACCGTGAGCTGTCTGAAATCGGACGCAATCCGGCCGATCCGTCCCGGGCGGCCGATAGCCACCATTCGCGTCAGCACCGGCTCACTAGATAAGACAGCCATAGATAGGTCGGCAATCGTCGCGCCCCGGCCGGCCGACGGCGGCCCAGTGGGCGGCCGTGACCGGTGACAGACCCGCGGCAGCTGAGGTGTCCCGTCGGGTCAGGTCGGGTCAGGTTAGGTCAGGTAGCGTGGGGTGCTCGCCGGCGATACCATGGCGCGAGTTGGGCGGACTGGCCCGCGGACTGTCCTACTGCTGCTGCTGGCTACCTTCGTCAGTGCAGGTTAGTCCATATGATGATGAATGCCCTATATAGTTAATATGCATACATATCCGGTTTTTCAGGTAGAGGAAGGTGGGGTAAGACGGCCCAGTGGAGCATCACGGACCACCACCCCTCCCGACTGAACCGCTGCTGCTATCTGCTGCTTTATGCACACACTACCTTTGTTTTCCTTCGCGTTAATGGCCACTTCATGGGCTCATGGGGCCAGGGCGCATGAATTTTGAGCTTTTGAGAAAAATGTTAGTTTTGTCAAACTGGTCTTATGTTAGAGGTCTTATGATTTAATGTTGGTGCCTTTCTTCCATGATTAATTTGTGTTGCATTTTACTGTGAAGAGCGATGCTATATTTACACTTAAGGATTTCGCAATGTTGAGCTATTTCGCAAGGCGTCATGAAAATGACAAAACTTCCGATTTGGGATTAGCCGGACCACTGTGGTCCATCTTACCATGTGGTAGTCATTTAACACCGCACGTGAAAAAAAAATGCAAAAACATTGTCATAAGTTTTAATTTTAATAAGCTATTTTTCAAGGAAGGGTCTTTGTTACAGGCGTGCATGTAAGTGTAGTGTTACTGTGTTGCGTCGCTGGCCGCACGGCCGGCCGGCTGCAGTGGTCCAACGGCCGGCCGGCTGGGGGTCCACCGGCCGGCCGACCAGTGAGCGGTCATCGCCCGAGGCCGACGACCGGTCACATGACCAGGCGCGGTCGGTCGGACGGGGTGCGCCGAGCTGCGACCGGCAGAATTGTGGGGACCGCGGCGCCGCGTCGGACGGGCCGGTTGCGCGGCCGGCTCACTTGATTAGGGATTTGCTCGATATTGGTTGCTCGTCTTGTCTCTTGATTTGCTTTCGTTTATCTCATTCTCTTTTACAATATAGGGGAGAGTGGGGCACATTCGTGCAAAAAATGGATAAATCCATATATCTGTTCGTCGGTTAGTGCAATGGCAAAATTGTTGATTATAGTATTACATGAAAAGGAACTATTGCAGATATTTTTCCTCTTTTAAAGTTATCCTCTAAAGTTATCGCTTTTATTAGAAAAAATGACTTTTAATAACTCTGAACGTTTGCACGAAACTGCCCCATGTATGGGGCACATTCGTGCAAGGGGTGGGGCACTTCCGTGCACCCTGCAAAGTTCGAGGAATTACCGGGCATTGCCAGAAATTTACCAAAAGAAATTGGCAGGGGGTCATTTTACTTGATTCCTTTCGACAAGAATGCATTGCACAACATATGTATAGAAACTAGAAAGAATGGGCTGGCCAACAAGAATGTGCCAACTGCCGGCCATCGACCCGCTTCCTCTCCAAGGTCACGAGAATTACTTGTCACGACGTCGCAAGCAGCCGAGACTAAGTCAGGCGAGCGTCACTACTACAGATAGTCATAAATCGCAAAAACGGGAAAAAATATGCAGGAATGTGCCCCTAGGCAGTGCGTGTACGAACCTGCCCCACAACGTTATTTGTAATATATTTCAAAATTTCTTATTGAAAAAATGACAGTTTTTCAACAAACAAGTTTGCAGCAGTTCCGTGAATAAAGAGCTTCTTCGCCCCCCAATTTTGAAAAGTTAAACCACATTTCCGAGTCAGGATCACGAAAATGGTTGATATGAGAAAAGTTTGGAAAGCGCACGAATATTACAAATTTGCGTTTTTATCAAGCATAACAGCAGGTACAGTGTTGTCTTCTACAGTGAACGAAGGGCGGCAATGATAGACATATTTTCATAATTTACCTTTAGCTCGTGCAGTCACTCGTGTTCCCATAAACTGCTGAAAACGAATGTGCCCCATGCACGAATGTGCCCCACTCTTCCCTATCTGGGTCCAGGTTCACTTCTTTCTTCCTTCGCGATAAACACACGCTACAAAGTGCCATTTTCGCCATTTTCCTTTCCAAGTTTTATTGTGCAAAAATGTATAAAACGTTTCTCCGACACCACCTTATTGTTTCAATAGAAGCTTTCAAAAGCCTTTCGGCTGCCTTCTTCAGCCAAGTCATGTAAAAACGCAAAAAACAGCAATACATCGAGATGTTGTACGATTCGATCAGTCAAATTCATATATGTACTATGCATCTAAAGCGCCACATTAAACGCACAATTGTAACACAATTTTATGAAGTAGTTTTGAAAACTTCAAGTGGGACCGGTACCAAATACCAAATTGGTATTGGTTCGGTATTGGTATACCAAAAAGTTGGTATCCGATCAGGGGCGTCGCCACGGCTCCCCAACTTGTACGGACACATTCTGTCAGCCGTAACACTCGTCAGAGGTGTAAACCCACGCGGGCCCGTGGAGGGCATTTTTCGTCCTCCTTCCCCCACCCCGGACGAATAGTTGCGATAGCCCCCGAATGCCTAGGGGCTTCGGAAAAAATACAAACACATTTTTGATACCTACATTAGGGTAGATGGCAGGTCAGCGACCCCAAGCTGCGGCTTTTTCTGCAGAGTTCTTCAGCAAAGAAGGTGGTGCCAACGCATTAGTCATATCAAGATGCGTCGAATGACATATAGTTAGGTTGTTTGAAACGGTGAAGTCTTATGTTGACCTCATGTGACCTCGAATGGCCTTTGGTTGACTTTTGCACATGATCAGTCTCATTTGCTGTATTTGAAGTCGCTGGTCACGATTTTGTCATTTTCTTTTGCTCTAAGCATTCATTTAGTTTAGTTAGAGCCTCAGCATGACAAAAGTCACAGAATTATTATGGCTGACGTATCAGTGAATTAGTCTATAGAATGATACAGAGTGTAACGAAATTATCCGCACACCTTTCTTTCCGCTGTAATTAAGAAACAAACAACCTGAGGTTGTTTCCCTTTGATGATAATATAGCAACCTTTCATAAGATCATATTTAGAAATGCCTAGAGCATTCCAGCTACTGGGTTTTTAAGCACAGTGGGTTTGATGTGGACCAACGCCGTATTAGCATGTGCCTACTGCCTACATACAGTTGCTCTGTCCTGGTGCCGGGTGTCCCCTTATTCACCTCTTGCTGGACAAAAGTCCATAAGATCTCGATGGAATTAGGATGAAAACTATTTACAAGCCTTAGTCCGTTAGTCCAGAAGGATAAGAGCTTCTCCCGGCGTCACTTCTCATTCTCCTACGGACTGATTTGTCTGACAGGATGTTGCTCCGGTAAGGTAATACTCGTCAGTCGTCACTGATGGTGGACTCTTCTGTCAATGGGTTGGTCAATGCACAGCTGGAACATCGCACAGCAGCTGAAAGCTGAA